AGTCTGGCGAGTAAACAAAAAAATTTACTAGCCAATGGCGATTATATTGCCAAGGTGTGCGTAGAGGGTTGAAATGTATCATTTACTCAAACCTGAATGACTTATGCCCAGTTCAGACTACACGATGTTAGCCCGATTTTGCCACGATTTGCTTGACGTAGGGTGCCGTGGGGATTCATAAACGACAATGGGCATCAGGACGCAAGATCCAATCGTTTCAGCTCATGTAGTGTGTCATAGTGGACAACAACCAATTGCGCGTCTGCGATGCTTCACGACATCACGACAGAAAGACTAGCATGTTTAATTTTCTTTCCGTCGTCCACGACGAGTTCTGTCACATTGGTGACGTTGACCAATAGCAGCACAGAAGCTCTTTCATACACAGGTTTCAAACATGGCGAAACGAAAGAGAGATGATGGTGCTGCTAGGTGGAATTATGAGATGGAGGAAAGGTTCGTGGAGCTGTGGCAACAGTACTCCTGCCTGTATGATGTGTCATCGAGGGACTACCACGACAGAACAAAGAAAGAAAAATGCTGGCGAACTATAGCGGAAGCGCTTCAGCAATGTTTACACTGTTGTTTTTGGAAGTCAGTCGCTAGTTCCGCCTTCTCGATGACATCACGCACGTCGTTAAAGACGACACGCGATGAATGGTTGGGAAGCAACGTGTAGTCTGACATGTTTCTTGTCCAAGACACGACAAGATTTCAGGAGTCAAAATCGTGTAATCTGACACAGTGACTATCGTGACCGACAAAAATATCGTGTAGTCTGAACCCGGCATTAGTTTCTTTTGTATTTTGAAAACTGTTGGTAACAACGCTGTTTTGGTTACCAATGACTTCCATTGCATGAACGAAAAATTTTTTTCTTAAATTATCCTCTTTTATGTTCCATAGTTTATGTTAGGCCGTTGTAGCCTAAACATTTATGTGTAATACATTTATGTTGAATTAAATAAAGTATTTATTTCTAAAGCTACTATTTATAATGCCTACTTAATACTTTATCATTTAACACAAAAATAGCTTTAAATCATCTTTTTTCATTTTATTTCTTTTTTATTGTAATTTGTGATTAATTCGATTAATTAATCGACACATCATGTAATTAATTAGATTAAAAATTTTAATCGACTGACAGCCCTATATATATATATATATATATATATATATATATATATATATATATACACACACACACACACACTAGATTAAAAATTTTAATCGACTGACAGCCCTATATATATATATATATATATATATATATAGATAGATAGTGTCAGCAATGCTATTGTGTTTTATTCTATTCTGCAGTGACTGTATTGATCCTCACAGTGCATATAATGACACAGATGATGCAGGGTTTGCGTGAGAATCAAGAGTTATCTCGCTCGTCTTTTCGTCTTTAGCCAGCTCAGCGCCTTGAGTCAGGTTAATTGCACTGGCTAATTTCCAAAAGATGAGCCTCGCAGATTCACTCTGCTAATGTCTTGCCAATTTCACATGAGTTCAAACCCAGTTCACGCTGACAGTAGCCTTTTCTTCACCTTCAGAAGTCCAATTTTCTCCACGACCCAAAGGGAAATTCAAAGGGTGCTCTTCTATTCTGTGCCTAAATAACCATATTAATGTTCAGGCTGTGTATTTTCTCTCTCGGTTCGTTCCTCAGCATGAAATCCAATCTAAGAGCAGCTCTCTGCAAACCAGATACTAATGAAAGCCACATAAATGAAGCATAACAACTAAAATGAGCAGTCAGCAGCTACCAACAAATGAGTTTTTAGGCCTTTACATTATTTCACAATTTCATTGCATAAGATAGACCCGTACATGCCTCTCTTGTCCTCACGCTTGAGCCTCTGAACACAATAAATAGATATCTACCACACTATTTCTTGGCTCCTGTTCTGTGCATTCAAGTGTGAAATACAGAGGCTGATGCAGCACAGAGCATCCATTACCAACACTGCATTCACACCC